CACAATTCTATAAATCAGTTACATCCAATTCAAAAATCAAATATTACTATTATTTAATTTCAAAGCCTTTTATTAATCCAAATATGACTTTAGTTGTTTTTCCACGTCCTTGAAATTTTTTATTTAAAATATTTAAATATAGTGTTATATCTGTGAAAAACATCAATTTTGTTAGCTACTCTGTATTATGAAATTCTTTAAAAAGATCTTGTTATCATGTAAAAATATGAAAGTTTCGAAAACTTTCGAGAATAAATTAAAACATTTACAAATTTATCTAATGATATGACCCGGTTTAACCAACATACATTATTGTACATTAAAAGAGTATCATATTCACAATTAATATAATTTAAAAGTTTTTTAAATTGTTTTTTATGCATATCTCAAGCAACTAACAAATTAATAATTTTTGTTTATGTGTCGAAGAACACCAGTCTTAATGACACGATTGAAAAAGAGATTTTTACAATATTATTTTTCTGCTGGCGCCTACAATTTAGTGGGTATACAATTTAGCCTACACGCCACATTTCTGATCGGGTAACAACTCCATATGCTTTACGGACCGATATTGGTCAAGTAGCGGCAATCAACATGACGAACGGTGACAAGGATTGTAAACACGGTGTAGAAAGGAGTGCAGGAATCGGATTAGTTATCAGGGGGGTGCCCCTGCGGTCGATCCGTTCTGGTGCAATGACGTGCAGGGTTCACATATAATCGAACAAATACTTATCACTAAACACTCAGGTAACAACTTACAAATTTAAAATTACGTGATGACTAGAAGACGATGGTAACTGGTAAGAAGTTTTAGGAGACCTGGACGGTCTCGCATACACCACGCTGGGTGCTGGCGGTCTTACGCGTTGACGGACCAAATAGAAACAATAACAACGATCACGGATAGACATGCACTCTTACGATGATGAATGGAACAAATTACATATAACTTAAATAACTCAAAAATTACACTTATGGTAACGGAATCAAGTAAAGGCTGGTAACTCGTGTGTTGCTGATGATGATAAGTTTTTTATTTTTATCAAAGTAAAACACATATTTAATAAATAATTATTGCCTCAATGGCGAGAAAAATAATAAATACTTATAAATTATTGGCTACAGTGATGAATACAAAAAAAGAAAGTATGGTATATAAAAACAATATTAAGAAAAAACGAGTAGAGAAGCTTCAATAGCGAATCGAAGAGAAGAGAGAAAAAAAAGTACATAATAATAGACATATACGAGAAAATGCCGACCAATAGTTGATCACAAAACAAGAAAACAAAGAGAATAAATACACATAATTAAATTATAATAATTAAACAATTACAGGATTGAGTGGTGTATGGAGAAAACCAGAGGGATTAGAACGGTCGCCCTCGTACATAACAGCTTTACGATGAGCGATGAGCTTTCGGCGCGAACAATTTTATTAATTTGTTCTGACAATTATTTTAAATCACTAATGGCAAATTTGGAACACAACATTTGCTGATGTATAATGAAGTGAAATCTAGTAATTGGAGATCCAATATGATTTTCAAATAACTTAACAAAACATATTAGTGCTCCAGTCGTATTGAGCGCTTGATCTATGACAGAATTTTTCAAATATTTTTACGATAATATCACAAACATCTGCAGGCATGAATCTAGAAATGAAAAAAGGGGGGGGAGCTAGTTAATTGAGTTACTGCCATAATTCGTTGCGCATGTCGATTTGTGCAAAGTCTTTCTTACATCTAATTTTTTAAATATTTTAAGTACCCGAGTTTGATATGGTTCTACCTGATATCTAGGGGGGGGCTTAAGCCCCCATAGTCCACCTTTGTATCCGCGCCTGAACATCTATACCTCTTATTCTTTTCGGTATAGCAGCTAATTTTAAAAGTTCCTCACGCATTTCATTTATGTTTGAAAAATGTGTGAAATTGATATTATAGCCGATAACTTTATGCTGTATACGATGATTCATCCAAAAAATAAATCACAACTATTAAAATCAGACTGAAATTGATCAGAATTATGACGGTAATTTACTCAATTGTAATTCTTGAATTCTTTGAAGTATTTTTTCTTTATTACTAAAATCATGAAACAATCTAGGCGCCTCTTTTAACAAGATCATTTTTAAAAACACGCTATCAAAAACTGGTTTTAAGTGTTTGTCAATCAAATGAAATTAAAAATTTTGAAACTTTAGTGACATTATTAAAGGTTTTTACGAATTTACATAACAAATTATATTGGTTTTTAATCATTTTTAAATGTTGAAAAATAACTTCTTTTCTTTCGGCAATATTTATTTCTGAAATTTCTTTGTCATTCGTTTCAAAATTTCTTCTGAAAGCAGAGACGATTTGAACATTTATATCTTACCTAGGCAGATTAATTTAAACCACCCATCTACCTCGAAAAAATTGTTCTGGCTACGTTCCATTTACATTATAACTTAGACGTAGAAACGTTAATTATGTACGACTAAATACGTGTATAAATGTACCGGTATACCTACTAATTTTAATTTATTTAACCAACATTTACATAAAAATTGTTTTTACCGGGTCACAAGACGCTTTTATTTGACAGAAGATATGCAAGATACAATAACTTCAGAGCACATATCGCATCGACTTTTATCTCCATATTCAATTGTACACGATGGTAAAAAACTTCAAACATCCTGTAATCTTTTTTTTTTATTAGTAGGTATGTGACATTTTGAATAAAAATATATTAATAACGTAAAACTAGCACAGAATCGTATTTTCTAAATAATACTCTCAATTTACTTCACATTAATCACCTCTAGATCCAACATAATAAATTTCTAACAAAAGTATAAAAATTCAGTTATTCATCGGGATGCAATTTCCAAAATTAACTCTATTATACCATATAATAATAATAATGAACTTGACATTAATAGCTTTGATTTAGCAGTTCCAATGGAAAAGTCTGAAATCATAAATTATATTTATATTTTATTAGTAATTAAGGAAATTGATCCTCATTATAAATTACCGGTTCAAATATTTTTTTATTTAATATACTTAGTCATTATAAACAAGTATACCAAATACAAAAATAAAAATGTTGTACAATATAAATAAATTTATAATTTTAATAATTTTTAATGTAATTGCATTTCATCACTAGATTGCAGCAGAGCGCCTATTCCTATTCGCTTCGCAATACAAGTGTTTTTATTACTAACTTCTATACTAACCACAGATATATACTATATATATTAATATATATATATATGTGGTTTTATATTAACACAGAACAACCAGAATGGAAACTGCCGACATTTTTAAATTAGCACAAGTAACTATACTAGTAGAAAATTCCCATTATTCTATGAAATTTGTCCATACTGGTTAACATTTTTGGCGGTATTCGTACTTTTTCTATTAGCAGACCGATTATTTTTAACACATCAGGGATGTGCTTTTGCTAGACAGGGTTGTTAGCCCTGTGCCCCACCCCCAAAATGTCATGAAATTAATCTCATGTTATCCATAAACGAAGAGAATTTTATAACTTAATAAAAATATAAGTACCTATAAAACTGATATCTAAAGTTCCCCTGACTGTCATTTTTGTTCTGCTTATGCGTTTTATAAGTTTGTTACCAATTTTTCTCAGTATTTTGCATTTTTTACAACTGTTTAACGTTACTAAAAATTGTTTGTACTTTGAAAATTATTTTTGTTTTAATTGTAATTTTCAAAATGACAAGTTCCACTGGTGGTATTAAATGTGGACTGTACAATTGTTATTCTGTGTACAACAAGAATGCTGTGGGAAATCAGAAATCGTTTTTTATTTTCCCTAAAGATCCTATAAAGCAGGCGCGGATCCAGAGGGTGGGCTGGGTGGGCCCGAGCCCACCCAAAATTTTCAAAAACAATAATTTTAATTTTGAATATCGGCATTAAAATTGATTTTATCAAATATATCATATAAAACGTATTAATCGTGCATGATGAGTAACAAAACAACAATATATCTACCTTTTATAATAAGTTATTATTAATAACATGTAATTGTCCGTGTGATTAACATGATTTTATCTAAATATCGATTGTCGTCGTTCGAACGCCAATGGAACCCCGATAAGATATAATAAGTGTACGTAAAACTGGACCCTACCCGACTAGCAAATATTGTTAAGTAAGTTCACATGGAGAGCGTTAAATGCGCGTTAGCCAAACGCGCGTTTTTTAGTTAGTGTTCACATGAGAAGCGTTAAACGCGCGTCGACATTGACCGTATGATATAAATTTATACATAGGTACAAAATATTTTAATAGTTATATTAATTTTTAGTAGTAAATAGATGTACAACAATGTATATAAAACTTTATTTTAAAAACAAACAATATGTATTTTTTTTTTAATAATAGTTTTAAATAATTAATTTATGTATAGAATTTTTTTTCCAAAAAACAATATGAAACAAAATAAATTATGTCTATATTATATATTTAATTGATTTTAAATTTTATATCAAATTATAAAATACAAAATAGTTAATAATACTTACCATGGAATTTTTTTCTTCCGTGTCACTTGGGTCACTAAAAATTAGAACAATTTCTTCCCAGGCCTTTCTTTTACTGATTTTATTTGAATATTCACTACTTGTCATGTCCTAAATTGGGGATCTTTTTTCAATTTCGTCAATGAATAAATCAGTATCAAATTTCTCACTATCCATTTTTGATTTTTTAGAAAACTTTTTCGAAAAAACAAATGAAAATATCGAAAAACAAGAACCTATCGCTTCAAAACGCGCGTTGCAACTGAACACGTCAATGCAAAACTGTACAATGTTTAAACGCGCGTCAACTTGCGCTGACGCGCGTTGACAGGTTTTTTGCGTTGTCGCTGCGTTACCATGTGTATAGTTAATAGCTATTAATAGTAATTGTAAACACCTCTCATGTGAACTAGCCCTAAATGACACACGTGTACTCGTAATATTATTCTGTCTGCTGTCAACTTCCAATAAGCGATACTTAAATCCACATTTTAACTAAACAATTTAAATATTAAAATTTATTGGAAATCCATCCACGAATTGCTGACGTGCTGAACACATACACCAAATAGGTAAGTTTTATTTTGTTTTTTTAACTATTTATTAAGGCATACCTATTTATTTTATATTTAACAAATTGTGCAATTATTCAATATTGAATACTTACACGAAAACAAATACATATATGTACAGTATATATACGTAGTTTGTTATATTATTGTAATAAATAGTTACTCACATTTAAGAACAATTTACCACTCTTTATATCTGAGATTCTAAAATCCTGTTTTATTTTATTTATAAATACTTTTTTTTATAGGCCATGAAACATTTTCTTGTTCCCCTTTTACAATCGGATCAATCTGTTATTGAATCTGTTACTTCCAAAAAAATTCGTAAATCTTCTGCTTCAATATGTGTCATTGATTGTGATGTTCAAAACAATATTTTTGATATTAGTCAAAACGTTGAAAAAGGGCCAAATCAACCCAACATTACGTTTCCAAGACGAAACATCGGCGGAAAACAGAGATCATTTAATATTTCGTGGTATTCAAAATACGAATGGCTAGAATATTCGAAAATGAGAGATTCATTAAATAAAATCATAATTTTACTGTATTTTCTTTTGTGGTTAAGTTTATGGGCCTGCCCAAAAAAATATTCCTGGATCCGCGCCTGCTATAAAGTAAGAAATATTTGCTCTAAATATTTAAATATTTGAAAATGTATTTTTTTGTGATTTTTAAGATATGCTCTGTAAATTGAAAAATGTAATCCTGTTTCTTTACCAACACAAGTGATCTTGTGAAAAGATAAATTATATTCACTTCATTTTGAGGATAATATGTTTAGCAACTTTCAAAAGAATAAGCTTTATGCTCATACAGTACCAACTTAATTTGATTAAGTAATTAAGTAATTTTTTTAATTTTTAATTTTTAACTTTATTTATTTTTTTTTTTAAGTAAATTATAGAATAATTATTTTAAATTACTAATAAATGTATAACTATTCTCGATTAGGTAATTTATTGTATATATATTTTTGATGATTATTAGTTCGTGTAAATAGTTTTATGTTGTATTATTTATTGTTATTTTTAAATTTGGATTCGAATTATTAAATTGTTGTTATGTGATATTAATACGAGATTTATCATAGAATTGCACGGGGCTGGTTTTATCTAATCTTTGATATTATTCATGAACGTTAAATTATGTTTTTGAACACTATAGAAAACTATAAATAAATCTTACGTGAATTCTACTTCATTTATATTACAAATTATTACTTATTAAATTACGTAACCTAACTTATTTAATTTTGTGTTAATTCTGAGGAGATATAAATTATTTTCAGGTCCTTATTTTTGTTCCAATTGTTCAATATTTAACATGTCTATCCAAGCGCGCCCGCAGGACATAATCCCACCCGGGACAAGATTAAAATTCTAAGGGTCACAACGTGTATCTAAAAATATATGAGACAAATATATTAAAACAGTTCATTAAGCTGTGATAACGCTTCAATAAACAGTCAGATAAATAAATATAGGTTTGTTTCAACACACTCTACACGCAAATTCAAACTATTTTTCCATATGACATGCGATAGTTCGTTTGTTAACCGTGGTTAAGTGATACTGATAACAAAAAAGTGATAAAAATTTATACTATCAATTTTCAAATTTAATTATAATCGTTTTTTTTTTATAAATATATAATATTATTTTCACGTATTTTTATCGATATATATATATTTACATAAAAAGTATGGCAAATATTAACAAAAGAAGCAGGAATGTTACAGATGTAGAAAAAAATATTATATTGGATTTAATAACGTCTAAATATCAATAATTGAAAATATAAAGGTATATATAATTACAAATATTTTATTAAAATTAAATAATCAATTTAATCGATTTAAATTAAAACGAAACAAAAAAGTAGAAATTCAAAAAAGCAAAATAATGTAATATAAATAAAGTTATAGAACTTTTTTGAATATTTATGGAACCGAAATCGGGTCTACAACATATCGAACCGATAACACAATATTTATTGGATTGATAAAACTTATTGGTCCTTTGTGCAACCTGTCAAAAAGTTATAAATGTTTGTCAGATGAATGAAGATTTATAATTATTGATAGTAATGGTAGAAATCAGGGGTGGTGTGGGATTATTCAGGCCGGGAAAATAAATTTCATCCAAGCCACATATCATTTTCATCTCTTGAATAAAAATTTTATTTCATCTATTTATTTATTGAATTTAGTGTGTGAATGTGAATAAATAATAAATATAAAAATATATTGCGTATTATGTATTTTATTGATAAAACTATTAATACAACTTTAAAACTAAGATCTAAAAAAGAAAATATATTAGCCTCAAATTGTTTTTGTATAGTATTATAATAATATTTTATGTTCTTATAAAATTAAGACTTCAACTTATAAAGGTCAAACTAATTTAGCTTTAGATTAATACCTTTTTCTCAATGGCCATTAACATGAACGTTTCTAATTGTGCTCATGGTATTACTTAGTCGGTTTTTTATATATTTTAATATTAAAAATGATCATTCATAGACATAACTTGTGTTACATGTTATGTCTATATTATATATATATATATGTAATAAGAACTGTTATGCCAGCGTCAAAGTTGGATATGTGTTCGAAAATAAACTATAGCCTTGTAACAACAAAGACAGTTTTGACAACTTGTGCATTATTTTATTATATATGAATTTGAATCTTCATCATCTTCGCCATCTTCATAATATTTCATATTTTATTCGTCATTTAAAACTTTCCATGTGGTAGAAAATATAATAATTCTTCGCATAAACTACTCTTAATTTTATCTGCATCATTCAGCATTCTATTTTTAAATGATTCAAAATTGTTAGGCGATAAAAGAGAAAAATCAAAGTACAATGCATTATTTTTAATAAGTCTTGTAGTCATACTTTGTATAATAGCATCAAATACTTTATTATATACTTCAAATTTTTTTACAGCATTAATGATTGGTTCTTCTTTTTCATAATCGTCCATCCTTTTTTTCTTCTTACGTTTATTTTCAAACTGGTCTTGAATATCACACATTTCTAAATCCTCCTTAATTTTTTTCATCATCAGTATTTTCAATCTATAGATCAATTAGGTATTTTGCCTTTTCTATGAACTTATCACATGTAATTTTTGTATTTTCCATATCTCGTTGGAGTTTCTTTATTTGTTCTAAAGTCGCTTTGACCATTAGTTGACATTTTAATAAATCTAAGCCACTTGTTTGTAAATATCTGGAAGGGGCCTGTTATGGAAAATATTTTCATAAACATATGTGCAATGAGAATATTTTCATACAATAATAAAGATAATATACCGTCAACTTTAGGTCTAATATATCAGGTTTAAAACATTCATTATTGGATATTTTAGATAGAGCAATAATCAACTCGATGTACAAAACATCTTAAAATTTATCATAAGTACCAAACATTCTTACAAAAATATGAATCCAATTTCACACATTTTTTTGTACTCATCATTAATAACTTTTTATTTTTTCCCTATATCTTTCAGCACAACCCTGTTTTATTATTATCATTAATTTCGAAAAGAAATATGAAATTAATAAGATATTTAAAACAAACCTTGTTAATACGTATGAAATATAAATATGTAGGTACTTCACTAGTCCATCATACTGTATACTTAAACGATTACAGTAATACTGTAACAATATTTTGGTAATCTTGTTTTAGTGCTGATATCAAGGCGACTATAATATAATTTATTAGATTATTAAGAGGACACCACACCACCAAAAAACACGTATAAAAACGTGTCTACGTGTTTCAATATTACGGCTTATTGAATGGTTAGAGAGAAAAAAACTTGGTTAATACGTCGTCCGCCTCAATAGTTATTTTTATATTTGATTGTTGTCTTATTAACTTACCCAATTCCCGGTACACCGATAAATCCCGATACTGTTTATGGTGATTATCACTTATCGATCATATATTCATGCGCACGTAAGAATTATATATTATTATAATAATTTTAATTATTATAAAAATAAATTATAATAATTATAATTATATAAATATATAAAAGAAACGATAGAAAATTCTTACATTATCCATTATTTCCTATTTTTTTATTCTATTTACACCAGGTGCGGATCCAAGGGGAGGGTCATGGGGGTCATGACCCCCCCTAGAAAAACATCAAGATTAGATCCTTTGTAATTATTTAAAAATTAAAATATGCATAAAATGCGTTTTTAATTTTTTTTCAATTAGATTTTTTCTTGCAATAAAAATGTTATATAACATATATTTATATACATTTAAACTACATCACCACTTGCTTATAAAATCATAATTTCCATCCAACTTCTAAGAATATTAATAGTGATTATAATGATATGATAGGCTATAATATCGTTGGCGAATATAAATATAATAGTATATCTGCGGAAATTTTTTAGTGTTCGACCTTCGACGGAAAGATAACTTATCTTAGATGAGATTACTGTCAATTCGTTGGCTGGTACCTAATTGGTTCCCGAGCTCCAACCCCACGTGTTGAATTGGTTTTCGTCTGAAAAAGGTATTTTATTAAGTATAGCCTAATTGTTTGCCGTTTAACTACGCAAATTTTCCTTCTCAATTTTACAAGCTTAGGACTATCAACTTTAACGTAGGCTTGGTTAATATGCGTTAATGTATGATAAAAAAAATTGATAAAAATATACAATTTTAAATCGTTGATTTGAAAGTCAACTAGTCAACACTAGGGTGTACGAAATACAATACTCAGTCATACAATTTTCCAAGTATTTGTTATTTCTTTCCTGTTTGCTAGTATCTAATACTCTATATTATATCTATTATATTTCTACTCTATTTTATCGATATAATAATTGTCTATATGCTATACATATAGCTTTTAAAATTTTGTTTTTTGCTCTCAACGCACTGGCTCGCCTAACCTGTACACAAACGGGAACCAATTCGTTTACTCCCAATCCGTTACCCATATGTTTATATAATATTATACCATATACTTGCTATGGTACCGCTAATTGCTAATTTAATTTCTAAAACTTGTTAAAAAATACTATACATGCAATCATTCTCTACTCTCAGGCGTTTTAAGGCTTAAGGTTTCATGGCTTCGTTTAAACATGGGGAAAGAACGCTTTGTTCAATATTCACAAGAATATACACATAATAATTGATAATATTATTTCTAAATTTGGAAAAATAAAACAAAGAAGATTAAACTTTGTTATTTAATTTTAAAAATTACCAATTTCATATGTTCATAACATTCTAATTTGAATTAATAATTTACTTTTATTATTTTGTAATTGTGTATTATCTTTTTGTACTTTCGAAAAAATGACCCCCCCCAATTTGAGTTTTAGATCCCCGCCTAATTTTCACTCCAGGCTAGCAGGCCATTTAGCTTTCAGATCATCGGGATTTTTCCCGGTATCCCGGTGGGCCACTCCGCCCCTGGTAGAAATGTTATTATTTTTATGTTGACATAATTAAATAATTAATAGTTTAGAGAAAATCAGTAATGGTTTCTCCTTTCTTAGAATCGTAGATGTCCTGTAAATTAATTTAGATAAAATTCTGACATACATATCTTATACCCTACTGTATTTGTAATAAATATGCGTTCATATGCGTTAAAAAATGTACATAAATCATGTAAAACAAAGATAACACAAATTCAATATTTTAAAAATGTATTAACTGTAGCTACATTTAATAGCTCTTAATCTATAAATCA